CCTCTTGGAATAAAGGGCAGCAAGCCATTCAAACACACCTGGGCACATATCCCATATCATCAGTACTTTAAGCCATACAGATATCCAATGGATGAGACTGCTTGCAGTTACATTAACTGCCTATGCTGTTCAGGAGGAAAACCATGGCTGCAGCACAGCGCAGCTGCCGGCTCCCAGGATATTGGGATGGGGTTCAGAGTATCCCACAGCCTGGTCACACTCACAGACTCTCCTCAGCTCCAGGCCACCCTGGAATTACTGTGCAGAGCACTCTGGGGTAAGGGATGCCAGCCCTTAATCATTCTGTAGCTAAGCTGCAGCACTGATGCGTTGCCCTGCACCTTTGCCCAGGTGTTCTGATGACAAACATAGCGAACACTGATACCTGTGGGGCATTAATCCACAGAGATAAGAAATGCTGGTTATTATCTAAAGGTTTATTTTCTATTGTACATGTCAACAAAACTGCCCAGTAATTTACTCATTCTGATGGTTCAGAATGATCCTGTCATCTCAGTGCCATTTTGTGACCAATGGTAACCTTAGTCACCACTTTAAACTCCTAAATCTGTGCCAGAGAACAGAATGGAAAAATCCCTGAGGAGTTATGCTCTCCTCCAGTGCTCTGTCCTCTAATGTATACACCACTCCCTGAGGGACACCAGGTCCAAGTCCCTTATTGGAAGATCAAGATCACTTCCTTAGGATTCAGAACCACCTTGAGATAATACAAAAAGACAGGAACAACTGAAAGCAGGAAAATCCCTTGACAGGCTTGACATACAAAAAACTTTGCAAGATGCAAGATGGTCTCCATGAAATGATGAGTTAAAGTTACCTTTCATGAACAGACACGAGACTGAAAAGCCAAGGGTGGACTCACTTGAATACACACACAGTGGTGGGGAAAGGGAGAACAGAGTTTAAGTTGCATTAGGGGATAAGAGAACTAGCTGTACTTGTGCAGGTGCAGCATCTGATTATATCAAGTTCCTGATCCAGCCCAGAATATGCATCCTTGCCAACCAAGAGACAAATTCATGCAATCTCAGATTATGGTTTTGGTATTATTGACTTCAATTAAGGCAGTAATTTTTTTTTTCCCTTCAAGTTTACAGATGAATAACTTCTGTCTTTATAATTCTAAACAATTTATACAAGCACAAAAGCTTTAGAAAGGAAAGGCTACCTAACAGCCATACACTTGCCATTTGACCAGAGAATTGCACAACTACATCAGGTTTTGTCACATGAAACTTCTTTATGGCTTTCTATCTAGAGGAAGGAAGTCTTGAGATAGCTCTACATCAAATAATTGCATGAGTGCACTGGGAGAGCTAAACTTCCCTGGCCAGACCCTTTTCAGCATTCAAACAAGTCCATTTTGCACTGGCTCTGGTTAGTGCTGCTGTTATCACACCACACAACTAACATACATTCTTCAAGGCAGCTGCCAGCCCCAAACAGTGTTTTGAAGAAAGGAGCACTGTGTGCCAATTTAAAGAGACAGCTTCCTCAGGGGAGAGGGAATGTTGGAAATAAGGCAATAAACTAACTGCCTGAGTAAAACCACTCTCCTAGTCCTACAGAGTAGATCTTAACCCTGTCAAGGAAAGTAAAAATACAGGTGTTCCCATATTGCATGGAGTGAATTCTTGTTAAGGAAACAGATGCCATCAGAAGTTTAATACAAGAAAACCGAATATATTAAGTGTGAACTACTGTACTCAAGGGTGAACACCAAAGAGGGAACAAGTATCCACTGTGCAGAGCTGAAGCGCATTTAAACTCTGTACTCCTAATGCCAGGGTGCACCTAAGACTGTCACATTTGGAATTAACAGTAGAAAAAGTAGTACTGACAGTGGTGCTGTCAAGGGACAGAGAAGGTTAAGAAACTGTTATACTAAGACTGAAAGGGACACCAGTCCATCTTGAAGTCAGATTATGCAATCCTGATTTACCAAAACATAAGGCACATTTAAAAGTATGTAATATAGACTCAATATAATGCAAGGGAGTGTCCAAATAGGTGTCATAATTCCCATCACTCACATGCCCAAAAATGTCTTCTGCCAAGCTTAAGAGAGCACATACCAAGAAATCCATTTCAGCACCAAGCTCTCTCAAGGAATTTCCAAATAATGGCTGACTTGAGAGCAAAGACAAACTGTTGAAGCTGCAACAAGCAAAAGCGAGATGTGCCTTTTGCTACAAATAAGCTTTTATCTTTGAGGCCTACAAAGGCTTATCAGAGATAACAGCAGTTAATGTTGCAACCGAGTATCAATCTTTTCTTTGCGTTAGGTTCCTCTGTACTTAGAGGCAATTCTTCACTTTGTCATCTGCTACTGATTAGAAAACATCCTAATCTCTACAGAACAACCTAGAAGCAGGTTACACCAAAAATAAAACTCCTTGGTCAGCCTGAACAGAAACCTTGGAAACAGATCTCAAAAAGCGGCCTATCAGGGAATCTGCGGAGTTCTCAGCAAGTAAGAAGTTACTTCACGAGTCAGAAAAGCTGCTGAAGTCAAAGCCAAGTAACCTATCACATGATGACTGGCACACTAATTCAGATCCTTAGAGACTGTGTCAACACCCTTCAAGCAGCTATCAAGCAAACACTATGTCAAGGGCAGCATTTACTAAAACAATGTTTCTAAAGTTGCTCAATGTTCAAGCAGTTAGATTTTGTGAAAATCAAGTTATACTGGTCTCAGTTCCAAACACCTGATTATGCCAAACCTGAAGAAAATAATTCAGCACCAGATTGCTCACTGACTGTAATTCATTATCAAGTTTCTCTCAACTATCTCCACATTGGTATCAAGGTTTAAAATTCCATTTTGGACTAGAGTTGTGCAATGGAAACATGTGGATTATACATCAGTTACTCTGAAATGACATCATGCTACCTTGAAAAAAATAATTTTCTCTTTTGCAAATCTCAAACACTTCACCACTTATTCACTACAGTGAATGCCTGTCTGATTCTAATCTTAAATTTTCAGGAAAGTGTTCTCTGATGTGTGTTTAAGTAATGAAAAAATGCACGGGTGCTCTAGATCTCAGAGAGCACAAGCAGCTCTGTTGGGTTTGGCACACAACCCAACTGACTCATCGTGCTCAACAACAGACAAGCACCATCTTACTCAGTATTTCAAAAAGCAGCAGCTAAGTTCAGGGTAGGTACTTCCATTTCCCATAGCCCCTTTCCCTGAATGTACCATATACTACCTAAATGCTCTCTTAATTCCATATGTATGTTTGATGTTAATGAGGAAATTAATTACAAAATGCTCAAGGCTGACACCTGAAACATTCAGCTTAGTGCTTGCTGCTCAATCAAAACAGAAAACTGAAACAGTAAGTGAGGTATGATGAGATATTCAGGTAGAAAAAAAAAATTCTGCTGTCCCATAGTCAAAGCATCACCAAACAAGTTTTCACATCTGCCCCACCCACGCTAATCGTGCAGTCTCCTGTGATCACGACCTTATCCTAATCAGCGTTCACTCAGACAACTAAAAGGCTGTAAATGAGCTAAAATATCTGAATACTTCAGCTCATATATTATCTCTTCTTCTTCTCCCCTCACCTACAACCCAAACCCCACACTCTAGCAAGAAAGGGGTCTCTACTTGCACCACAAAATCTTCCCCTAAGATTATAGTCTAAGGTTACGCAGAAACACTCAGCTACTAAGCTACTAGACACTGGTACAAAGTCCCGACTATCAGTAAATAGTTACTGTGGTAAAATAAACTATCCTGTTGCCTCAGCTGCAGAAACCTAACATATTTTACATGCCAGAAAGTGACAAAGATAATGCACCGAATGATGTTTGTAACTGCCAGTTAAGCAGAGGAAGCCTACTGCAGTGGCCAAAAGTATCAAAACTGTGATACCACATAAAAATCACAAAAGCTGATTGGAAAGCAAACTATAAAGCAATTCTTTAGATTCATTTAAGCCATAACTATCTCAAACAAACGATTCAAGTAATTCCCACTATAACACCAGTTCAACGACAGTTCAGCTGGCAGCCCTAAAAAGCAAGTCAAGGAGCACTGTGAATCACTGTGCTCACTACATTGGTTCATGAGGCCTGGATGTCTGAACTGCTCAGTGCCCTTTGTGAGTGGCATCTTTTGGGCTCTATGAAATTGAACTACGGTCAACGGTAATAACGATATTTATTACCAAAGAGATGTTACAGGAGTCGCAAAGACTGTCCTATCTCAAAAATTATAGCAGATAAGCATTCTCAACTGCTACTGTATTTGCGAAATATTTTGGCCAGTTGCTGAACAAGTTTCCTTTGCTGCCAAAGCCACATCTCAGAAACCTGACAGCGTTGTGTGATGTGGCTTTCAAGACAAGAAACCAAAAGCAAGGTAGTTATCAGTAAACAAGCATGACACACTTCCTCGTTAAACAGCCTTGCTGCCCTAACAAACCTTCTCATCAAGGCACTGAAATCTCTCTATTCCAGACACGTTTCATATTTTACTCAAGATAGGGCAGGAAAAAAAACCATTAAGCAACGGAGCACTACATGCCCTATAGAAAAGCGCTGTTTCCTAGCAATGACATCAGTAGCTCCCGCGCCTCGTGCTCCAGGCTCGTTTCCAGGTTCTTCTCGGAGCGTTGTCCCTACATCCAAGGCAGGTGCTCAGAGCGGCGTTCCCGGGCTCTAACGCGGCTCAGCGCGCCGAGCGCGGCAGCCACCGCCTCCCGTCCATCATTGCCCTCGTACCTCGGAGGCCCTCACAGGCTCCGGGGCGCCACAGGGGCCCGGCGCGGGGAGGGGGCGGGATCCCCCAAGAACCCTGAGCCCCCGTGGGTCAGTCAGCACCCGGGAACACCGACAGCAGGCGGGAGCGGACNCGCTCTGGCGACGGCCCCGGCCGGTCATGTGACTGTGACGTCACAAGGCCGGCCCGCCCGTCACGTGACACAGCCTGCGCTGCGGGGCTCCGGCCCCGAGGGAAGGAAGGATCTCGCGAGAGCGGGGCGGGGCCGCGGGGCGCTGCGAAGGGGAGTGATTGAGGGGTGAGTGTTACCTCACGGAGCGCTGCTTTACCTCCAGAATGTGCTTCATGCCTCTGAACATGGGCAGTCTGAGGTGAGAACAGTCGTCTCGCAAAGAATTAATTCAATCCCAGCTGTATAACATTGGAAGTTGGTGGTCTGTTACCTATGAAGTGTTCTATCTGTATATACCCAGGTATACATGAGTCACATGTGTTCCAAGACAAAACAGGGACTGCTAATGGCGTGCATTTACATGGATGAAAATCACAATTTCACATAGCTTCAGATGTCTGATGGAGTTTAAGGAATACTTTTTTTTCTTTTTTTTTTTTTTGAGAAACCAGAAAAGAAGGTGAAGTTAGTTTGTAAACATTCTCAGATGTAATGGAGATGGACAGCCCAGGTCATTTGATCACTCTGTAATCCAATGCTCTCTCTTACCCACACTGTTGGGGATACGCTTACTTCATCTGAAACCTCAGAAGCATGTATCTTGCTCCTGAAATCCTGTTTCTAGTACGACTGGAATGTGTGCCAGGAGCGGTGTGCCTTTGCTTTCTCACAATGACTGCCATAGAGTCCCTCTCCTCATTACAGGCTGCTCCAGATTAATAATCTCTGAGGCAGAACGATTTCTGCTCCCAAGCTGCCTTTATACATTTTTACTTTGAACCCATTTGAAATGCAATTTATCTACTCCCAGCTGCTAAAGTCAAGTTCAGCTGCTGTGAACTTGACCTTTCCTTGCTCTTTGTCTCAGTTCACTCACACTTCCTGTTTCCCCAAAAGATCCTGGATAAGTTTAGTTTCTCCTTAGGGTGGCATGGGGATCTACCTTTCATTTTCAATGCTATTGCTATAAACACATATTTCTTTTCTAATGCTGTATTTTTATCTGCACATTTTTTGACACAGTAATGTATTATTTTAGTTTGTCTTTTCCCTGGAACACTTCTAGCAGTCTTTATCCTTGCCATGCATTGCTAAAAGCAGAAGTTAGTTAGAAAAAGGACATAATGAGCAGCTCTGGTCAAGTGTTTGAATGACTCATCTGCAGAGGAGTTGAGGGTAATGGAGGTGGGACACGGGTTGTTTTCATTATGGATCACTGTTTTTGGAAGCTGCACTGGGAGTGGTGGAAGGTCTGCGGAACACAAAGTCTGCCACAAGACAAGTGGAGACAGAGGCCCAAGGTCAGGTTTAAATTTGGTGTGCAATATTCTGCCTCTTCACTGGAAAGTCAGTAGGTGTCTATCAATGGAAAAATGACAGATGCTTGGATTGCTACAAAAAAAATTATCACTATATATATACATATATACACACACACACACATATATATATATATATGTAAGTTGCATAAAGCAACAATATTGTGGTAAAATTTGGTAAATAAAGAACATAAGGTTGCCAGCACAGAATGATGTTGGATCCATGCTGTGGATCATTGGCTCACTAGGTCTTTATTAATGGTGCAGAGATGGCACCATACCAATTCCCACCTCCTTTCAGTACAAGTATTACCAGGGTCTTAGATGAATGCATCAAGTCTTGCACAACCATCTTGGCCATCAGCCCCACTGTTTGGTAACTTGTTGGCTGGTATCAATCAAATGTGATAGCAGGGTAAGACATAAACAGTTACAGCTTCTGTAAAAGCTGCTATATACATAGCCTGATGGTCTAAATTCGTGCTGTCACTGAGGAAACAAAATCCATCCATGCCCAGCCCCTACACATTTCATCTGACAGAGCTGCTGGCCAACCAGCATGCTCACAGGCCCAGATATGAACCATGATGCACTCCCTGGCCTTTCTTCAGAGCCATAGATGCAGAATGGGCCACTCACAGGAAACAGGCAGGAGATGTAGCACCCTTTACTACAGTAAAAGCTGTCCTGTGAGGTCAAGGTAGAGTACAAAGCAAGGGAGACAGAGTACAAGGCTAGGAATTTTTACCAGTAAAGAACTTCCAGAAAACATGACTCTATTTTCCCATAGCCAGTTGCTGAGGATTATCTGACATCACATGGTTATTTCCTTTCTGAAGAGACTTGCTAGGAATAGTTAAATGAGTTCATTGTTTATGGTTCTATACCATGGTTCATGGTATAGAGTCCACTCTCCTGAACATACCTGCTAAAGATAATAAACCTACAAACAGAAAAGAACCATTGAGGCTGGAAAAGACCTCAAACATCACAGAGTTCAACTGGTAAGCCAGCACTGCCTAGCCTACCACCAAACTGTACCCTAAGCTCTACATCTATAGGTCTTTTAAATACCTGCAGGGATAGTGACTTCATCACTTCCCTGGACAGCTTGATCCAGTGATTGACAACCCTTTCAGTAAAGAAATTTTTGCTAATATCTTATCTAAACCTCCTCTGGCACAGCTTTAGTTCTTTTCCTCTCATCCTGTCACTTGTTATCTGGGAAAAGAGACCTCCACCTGGCTACAGCCTCCTTTCAGGCAGTTAGAGCAATAAGGCTCCTTCCCCAAGCCTTCTTTTTTCCAGCCTTAACAACTCCAGCTCCTTGAGCTGCTTCGCATAGGACTTGTGCTCCAGCCCTTCACCAGCTCCACTGCCCTTTTCTGGACACTCTCCAGCCCCTCAATGTCTTGTAATGAGGGGCCCAGAACTGAACTCAGGATTTGAGGTGTGGCCTCCCCAGTGCTGAGTACAGTGGGCAATCACTGCCCTGGTCCTGCTGGCCACACTATTGCTGATACAGGTGCCATTGGCCTTCTTGGGCACCTGGGCACTGCTGGCTCATGTTCAGCCACTGTCAAACCAGCACCCCCAGGTCCTTTTCCACCAGGCAGCTTTCCAGGCACCCAGTGTCCCTGCCTGGAGCAGTGCACAGGTAGGTCTGCATAAATTGAGATACTGAGACCCTGAAAAGGGTGTAGTTGTTTTTTTTTTCAAAGATGTATAGCACAAAGAAAGGATGAAAAAAGCTGCAGCAAATCAAGAGAGTTAAATGATAAACTGAGGTTCAGATAAAGGAATCCAGGGAAAGCTAAAATACAGAACTAAGAAAAGAAGACCCAAGGAGAGGGCAGAAGGAGGCCATTGGCTGGTTAAGGAGAGCTGTACCTGCCAGACTTGGGAAGCACCTTTAAGTCTTTAAGCCCCCAGCCTACATTCTCGCACTTGCTTTCCCTGAAGAAATGTTGGGCTACCTAACAGCATGTCATTTAGGAAAATTGCTTTTTAAATGCATATAACGTATGTTTGGATAAGACAGAGCCCCTGTCTGTATCCAGGCTCCTGCTGTTATTTTTATCATTCCATAGAAGCTACTATACAGTTTGTTCTAAGGACATTGAATTGCCAAGATCCAGGTTTCCCAGACATACCTGAACATAGATGCTCTATAGAGGACATCTGTTACCTTGCTACTGCCCAACATCTTCAGCACTGGGCGATATTCCAGGAATAAATGTTTAGCAACCTGTGCCCTATGGGTACAGGTACACTCAGGCAATGTGACTCCAAAGAACCAAGTGATTGAGGCAGGCTGCTCAGCCAAATTCTATCACCAGCTACTGAAAAGCAATCAACTGCAGCTATTTCACTATGGAGAAGTGATTTCCATGCTGACTCATGAAGTAACTGCTTACCTGTTTGGTTCAGCACATAAAAAATCCCAGTAAGAAAAATTTGAGGAAATCAAATTAAAGACAAGGGCCTGAGAAAGAGTCACAATTACCCAGTCTGTCAGTCTCTCCCAAAGCTTTTGAACCTCTGAAGTCACTTGCAGACCAGTCTGGAAGAGTAGAAGTCTTCAGGGATCATGACATTCTCTGTATATTCAGGGTGGTAAGGGGATGGTACAGATCAGCAGCTGGATGAGGGACAAAACCCACACTCTCACAAGCAGAAAGGCAAAACCAAGGAGAGCCCCTCTAAGTACTGATGCTTGAGGTTATTTGGAGGGGATGATACAGTTGGAGACCAAAGGCATCCGGCACAGAAAGACAGGCTTTATAATATCCATTGCTGTGGAACAACTAATTTTTAATTGCTAGACCAGAATAATATGGCCAAAGAGTTCTTAGTCTGTGGCAATTAAGAAAAACTGCACATCTCAGCACTTTTAATTAACACTGCTTCTTGAAGCAAAACCATTTTAGTCATCTTCAGGATAACACCACTGCTTTAGGCTATTGTTTAAAATTACTGAACCAGAACATCTGGGTTGAGAAGGGACAGGCAGTACATTCTCACTGCTTCCTAACAGCTACTGCACACTACAGCTTTCAGTGTGGATAAAGCCTCTCTGGCCATTACCTTTCTGTGAGGCACACATTCCTTTTTGGTTTAGAAGTCTGGAAACCAATGAGATCCATCTTACCATATACATAAAAAGTGAACTACAAAGTGAATGGTATAACTAACACTGAAAAAATAACAACTGAAAAATAAACAGAAGTGCCATATTCTCACAAAGGCTAAGAAATTAATATGCATCAAAGATTTTATTTGCATTAACTGAAGATTCCAATATTAAAATAGGTCTACATTAAATTATAATATTAAATATGCTTTAAATACAATAAACTAAATGTGTTTAGTTTCTAAACACAAAGGGAACAAAAATAATTCAGAATGCAATACAATTAATGACACCAGAGGACAGAATAAGGACTTTTAATATGTAGATCCACAAGTTGTCACCTCATAGCATTGTTTACTTTAAGAAGTAGCCTTTTAATTGATGCACAAACCCCATATGTTACATAAACTTGTAAGGTATCTCTCAAGAAAATATCGCTCAGTTAAATTATTATTTATGTAGTGATCAAAACTCCTTTGGTAGCTCTTTTTCAGAATTAAACATACCAGTAGACAAATCAGGAAAACAAGCAGTCTTGCAAGTATTACCAGAAAAGGTGTCTTCCTTACAGTTATCTAACAGATCTACAGTGTCTTTCACTCTTTAATTCGAATCAACTTACATATGTACAATATGTAACAAAGTACTCACAAAATCCTTAGTCTTTCAAAACAAAAAGCTATGCTTTCCCAATATTGAGACCATAAAAGTATTTTTTAAAAAAAAGGTTTTGTTTTCTTAAAGTGGAGCACGCTGTACAGTAGGTTCCCTGGATGTTATTTTCAAGGCAGAACTAAATGTTACGGCAATTACAGAAACGGTGAAATACACCTGCTGCCCTAAAATGAGGTAGGGCCTCTGACTCAGATCTAATCTTTGCCACCCAAGCCAGCAGAAGTAGTAATAACAGAATAATCCATATTTTAGCTAAATAATCCAACAGCTCAGTACACACATCAATGCAGTTGTCCTCTTGGCACTTCAAGAATCTCACTTCAAAACCTGATTTATCCAAACCAGACTGAAGTTTGTAATAACTTGAAAGAAAATAAACTGAACACAAGTTTAAGGGTTTTCATGGTGCAAAACTTCAGTGTATTTCAACAACACTACTTGTACATACATGTTCATGAATGAAAGGTTTTTAAAAAGTTACCCAAGTTGTCACTGTAGCTAAAGAATGCAGCATCTAGGGACTTTATGGATGCAGGAACACCTAAATGAAGAAACCAGACTTGCATCCGTGACAGAAATATTTCTCAGAGAGGTCATTTTACCTTTCCATCCAACTCCAATGACATTTTTTAAAAAAACTGTAAAACTAAATTTTGAAGAACCCAGGAGAACAAAAGATTAACTAGAGGGGGAAAAAAACCCCAGGACATTTAAAATTAGTAAGAAGTCTTGACAAAGGTGATCAATTAACATGTCATTTTTCTTTTCCACAGCAGTGCATGCAGCTGGTTGAATAATATATATCAACCTGAAATCTGCTAAAAGGAAAGTCTGGAACAGCATAGGTATTTGGTGTCCTGAAGATATATGTGGATGATTTTGGTTTTTATTTTTTATTTTTTAAATTTTTTTAAATAAAACTATTTCTTCGCCTTTATGCAACATAGTGATACTGATTGGGGTTGTCTTTGTCTCTCTCCATATAGTCTCTGTCAATGAGAGATTCAATTCTCTTTTTCAAGTCTCCAGGCTACAAGAAGAAAAAAGAGATTAGTATAACAGTAATATATAGGCAAACATATTAAAAAAAAAAATACTGCTAAAAGCTACATAAGGAATGCACCATAGTATATAGGTGATGTACTACTGCTACTCCAACTTATTTCTGTCCACACAATACCTTAATCTTTGAGTTTAATTCTATGGTATTTCTCATTTCTTGCTCTTATAGACAAGCTGAATAGAAACATATATTACATATATTTACATAAATCTAGGATGGTTTGACAAACAAAAACGTAAGTTACCTTCACAGGAAATTTCAGTTGGTTATACAATTCAGAAACAAGAAGATTATGACCAAGAGTCTTCCTCATCTTCATTATTCGTACAATAGCAGCATCAATCTGATATTGCCTGTCCTGAAATACTCTTTCAGTTGTGCTGACCTGTTCCTCAGCCTAAAGAACAACACAACACCACAATATCATCACAACATCATATCATCCTCTGTTGCTACTTTTTATTAATTATATCTCTATAGTTAACCTTCACAATAAAATTAAACTTATGCACTCTTATCCTTGAGACAGATGCATGCATTACTGCATTCTAATTGCTAAGTGTTTTCTGAAGTGTACTGCTAAAGCAAGTAAAAGAGAAAATTAAGGATAATGTGAAGGAAAAAAAAAATGTGCCTTATTTTTTTACATTATTTGATAAACTAAAGTAAATCTTAGAAGTTCCCTTCAGATTTCTCAAAGAACACAACACTTTGACAGCCCAAATACAGCAGCATTTTGTGTTAAACTCCAGTTTTAACTTTTCCAGTTAAACTTTCCTGGAATTTAATATGCAAAGGCAAAAAAGAAACAAACAAATGTTAATTAGAATGTGTCACCTTGTGCCAAGAATGGGGATTCAGATACAACAAAAAAAGGTTTGTTTTCTCTGCAGAGTAATGGAACAGCCCTGATTTTATAGCACTCTTACCTGCTAAATATAGAAGTGGCATGGTGACATTTGATTCCTGAGTTCAATATAGTATAAACACTTCAGCAATACCACAGAAACTTCTAAGATGGGCTGAAATGTCTACAAGATCCTTTTAGTTTAATATATAGGCGTTTAAATTTGCAACCACAGGAAGCAACCTAAGTTGCATTCAAGTTCAGTGATTTTAAAGCCTTTATTGCCTCTTTGAGTCATCTTGACTACTTAAAAAATGTAAATATCCTCTGAAATTAAATATTCATTTCTTTATATGCAAAAAATAGAAATCCATATGGGATATGTAGATAAAGTTAATACATAAACTGAATGAATGGAAAAAGTACGTACTGTTTCTTTCATTTGAATCTGGTTGATCTTTATTCTAAACAGTTTATGCTTGAAATCATCATTAAAGATGAATTTATCTCCATCTTCTACATCCTTGCCCTTTGGATTTTTAATCAATACTCGTGCTTTTCCACAAGCTAAAGACTGCAAGGTTCTTCTTAATTCACTGTCCTCTGTGAAGGAGTTCAAATATGAGAGAAATCAGAACAAAACATTAACATCAAGAGCTTTATGTGATTAATCTAGAAATAAATTGAAAAGCTAGTGTTTTTTTATGTTAATACTTTCTTCCAACTAAGTTCCAATTGGGAAGTAGCTCACAGCCTTCAAACCTGGTTTTATCTTTCATAGCTTAAATGCTGAGAGCATGCACAGGATTATATACATCAGAAAGAAAGATTTAGGCTCATCTGAGTTTTCCATCCAAAATAGTTTCAGGAAAGATTTCACTTTAACACAAACTTAGTTTTATTGCTTTAGTTTTACATGGTAGTAACAGGACTTTGGAAAACAAAAAGTCAGTGTATGACAAGAAACTCAAAGCCACCTGTTTTAAGATTTGATCAGGGTTTTTGTTACACAGCAAAAAATCTAATAGAATAAAAATAAAGAAGTTTAAATTGACAGGAAGATGTTTTGTGGGAGGGTAGAGCTGACAGCTATTATAGTCAAACTTCCCCTAAAACAGGGAAGTAGTACACCAGTGTGTGAGAAAAATTTTATCTAGTAATATTTAAGGCTAAAAGCATTTAGACAAGAAGGTAAAATGAAGACTTGAACATTCTAATTATGATGCAAAGTCTTGTATCAATATTTTGCTTTGAAACAGCCTCTGCAGTCTCCAGAATACTTTATTCACAGTATAAAATTATCATTAAATGTGTTGGATCTCCTGAACAGAGTTTTAGTCTAAAAACTGAAAGAAAAGTTTTGCAATCTAGTGCTGAAGTACAGCTGAGTAAAAAATTAACACTATTGCTATTTTAAAAATACTTAAGCTTTGCACAGAGCAACCTTTTCCTTCTTTTAAAATTCCAACTGTTCTATGATTTCTAAAAAGAACCCTTTAAACAATGTGGGCTGAAAAGGTATTTATGACATTTGAGACATTTTCTGTGTTTCAGTCTCAGTAAATGCACATTGTCAAACTCTGTTTTATCCAAATACAAAGCTGCTGTTAAAAGACTCTGGAACTTTGCATGTGAAGTCACAGGTTAGAATATGCCAGAGGGAAGGAATTCACAATTACCTATCAATCCCTGAAATAAAAACTACAGCTCCTAGAGGCTTCCTTGATAATAAGGGAAGTAAAAGCAGAGAATATATTTGGATAACACATCTCAAAGCAGCACAATTAGAAAGAAGTAACTCTTTCTCTGAGTAACAGTTTACGCATCTTCTCACTCTCCTATGTTCCAGGGAAAATCTCATTAAAGAGACTGATAACTTATTGTAACAGTTCCAATCATGGCCAGTTAATCCCCACAAGAAAAAATCCCTACAAGAAAATTTACAAGACCATGTAGTGACATGACAAGGGGGAATGGCTTCAAACTGAAACAGAATATACTAGGTATTAGGAAGAAATTCTTTATTGTGAGGGTGGCAAGGCACTAGAACAGGTTGTTCTGGATGCCCTTTCCCTGGAATTGTTCAAGACCAGGCTGGATGGAGCTCTGAGCAACCTGGTTTAATGGAAGGTGGCCCTGCCCAGGGCAGAGGGCAGGAACTACAACCCAAGCCATTCCCTGATTCTGTGCTATTCATCCTGGCCTCACAGGAACCCTTGTGGACCATGAACTGTCCTTACTACCTAATTTCTATACTACTTCTCCAAAGGGGAGAGAAATACAGGCATGGTGCTCAGTGCAATGACATATAGGTAGCTCCCAACTACCAATTCCAGCCACCTGCCTTAAAATGAATTCCTTATTTTGTGCTATATGTAATGGATTTCCATGCACCAGATTTTAGCTGTTGCTGTCAGGTAGCCACAATGCAAGCTCCAAGGGAGAGCAATCCAAGATGAGACAGCAGGACAACAATCCAAGATGCAAAAACAGGACCTGGATGAGGCTTGCATGATCCTGTGTTTGTTCTGTAAATATTGTACTCCAGCCTAATGAGCCTCTCCAAACAATCCTGATTATTATCACTTGCATGGATTTTCTTCAGCTCCCTTTATCATTGAGGGAGAGGATGACTAAGTAACTTGAAGCACCGACACTGAGACAATGGAGCACCCATGCTGTACTTCCTTCTGCAATACATCATTCTGAACTGCAAGGATTCTTGGTATCCTCATTTTACTGTCTTCTAGTAAATATATTACAATATTTTAGTACTTGTAAGGGCTCAAATACTCCGTCAGATATTGCTGTATTAGGTTGATCCTAAGTTTCAACATGTAAAGGACTACTGGGTATAAGCTGCTGATTGATGCAAAACTTGCAGAGAGTAATGATGACAGTGTTTTAGTGAGCTCACAGAACAATTCAACTGAAAATACTCTCTTAAATCACCCCCAAATGACATTCTACAACACATCATTTTCAAAATATAGTATGTGAAACTGAAAGGGAGCAAAAATACACAACAACACAACAGTCTTTATCACCACTTAAATTTTAGGAATTGCAGTGCTACATTTTGTAAATCTAATAGGCTGTTAGTAGTACCACATGACACACAGCTCTTAGGAATAATTTCATAAAGCATCCATTTTAGACGCCAAGAAAATACACTAAGAAATACGTGCAGTGTGTTTTCCTCATCTCTTTTGGTGTGTGTATGCTATTGGCACAAAGTTTGTCCTAATGATTGTGACAAATTTCTTAAAATTAGGCCTTCACACACCAAATCGTAACTGCCGATCACTTGATGAATAAATTTAAGAATCAAAGTATTCTTCCTACCTACACCAGTAGCCATTTTAATTTCTTCAAAACTGAATTCATCTCCTTCATTAAACATAAGTAATACTAATGTCTGAAAGAGGGATACTTGAAACTCCTTCTTCCCCTAAAAGAGAAAAAACAAGTAATAGCAATATTCAGAGAATTTTCTATTGTACCCTCTACATTTGACAGTTACAGCAAGTTACATTAATTTTGCTATTTCTAGAAGAATGGATATGCATTTAGAATGCTTGGCACACAGAAAAATCTGCCTGAATGTAGTATTGAGGAAACAGGAAATTTGTAAAATCTCTTTTTTTTGCTCCTCTAACAGTAACAATACAATACACTGCAGAAGCTCATTAGAATGGCCTGATATTTACTTCACACCCTTCACTTAATTTTAATTACAATATAAGCAATTTTAGTGCTGCCTCCATCAATAGCAAATTTGTTCATAGTTAAGTCAATATTCACAATAAGTCAGTAAAAGAATTCAAGGGGTTTTATGTCTTTGCTGTGGCTCAGTGAAGCTGCACTATTACAAGGCAAGATACTGCATAAGACAAATAGTACAGTTATTTAACAGTTAAATAATTCAACAAGCATTTAAATTTTAACCACAGCCATCACATGACTAACAGCCCTTCAGACTCTTTATGTATATCAAGCGTACTAAGAGCATCACCAAGATTTCTACAATCAAAACAATTCCAAATTAAAGACAAAAAATACTGTGTTCTTTTTCTTGCTTTAATTTCTTGTTTTATTACAACTTAAATTATTTGAATGAGCAACAATTCCTATCAAATTAGTATTACCAAAAGGTATCACATTGTTGTGTTATCTAAGTAGTATTTCAGTTTAATAATAAAAAGCCTACTTTCTGTACAGAATAACAGTATTGAATTGTGATTGTTCTGCCACAAAAATATTACTAGATTAATAAAAAAAACAAACACATTATTAGATTCCAAATAATTGACTTAAATTTTAACCTAACAGGTAAAGTCTTATGCAGGCAAACTTACTTCTTTAAATTCTGCCTTTAGAACAGCATGCCCTAAAGTCGTCTGCCACTGAAGTTTTCGACCACTGTGTTTTCCCAGGTAAAAGGTTTTAAATACCTCTTGAAGCTTTATCATCTGTTAAGAGAAGAGAAAAAACACCAGCATTGTATCAGTGCAGTGATGCCAAATGATTTCACACATGTAATGTCTTTATTCTCCTCAACCATGTTTCAAAATGGCTTCTTTTGTGGTAAAATATTAATCCAAAGACCAAAATTTTGCTCACAAGTACACTGGTACTATTATGCCCATAAGAAAGCCTCAATTCAAAGATAACTGAATTTTCCTTGGGTTAATTTGCTTGTTTTGTTTCAAGTAATAGTAAAATCAACTTCCTGTAAAAGGTTTTAAATCTCAAGAGAGATAATGGTTTCATTATCAGAGATTCAATGTCCTGGACTTTGAATTTGACCTAGCAGTCATGGGACAAAAAGCATCCATCTCTCATGGGACAAAAACCATCCATCTCACATCTTTACACTGGCTAATACCATCTGCTCTTCTTCCTGTAGTTTGTGGATGGAATGCAACTCCAGTTCCAATTCCACTACTTTATGCCCTCCTACTTCCAAGTAAGAGGGATCTACCCCTCCATTTTAATGAGGTGCTGCTCAGCCTGGATCCTTCAAAAGTAGTCTGCCATGGAAAAGACACTTCAGAAAGAAGAGTACAAGAGCTTCCATACCTTCCAAACTGAGTGGGAACCCCCATTACCACCTCTGGCCTCTGTAGTGCTTCCCACACCTCTGATCAAGCAAGGTATTGTAGGAAATAGGGACTCCAAATACACATTTCAACCTAAACTGCTACTGGAGGAGCTTTGCAAAAATCTCTCAACTTGGAAACAATCATTTTTCAGGCAAATATTACTTAAATGCAGGGGCTAGTTTTTGTGTGACACAAAGAAAGGATCTTGGAAAAAAAAAAAACAAGTAACATAAACATGAAAAAAACCCATAACTATTGACTAATTCAAAGTGCCTAACCAATGTAGTTAAAGATTGACTAATTATGGTGAACTGACTAATTGCAAACTTTTAAGTAACTGACCACAGTAAGGCAATGATATTATTATACAGGTAAAAAAAAACCACACTGAATGAAATAATCATCTGAAAAAAGTGGATTTTATCCACTACATTTTATATTTTGCAATTCTGGAATCCTTAAAATTATATCAACCCCTTAAATATCTATCAGAAAAACATTGAATGAAGGGCATTAATGCACCTGTGATAATGATTCCATTCTGTAAAGTGCACTTAGAAAAATAATTCAAACACAAACCTCTGAATTTAAGTGGACTTCCATAGGTGTGTAAGTTGGCCAGTATCCCATAGTTAATATATTTACTGTCAGGTCTATATTTCCTGGGTCACTTTGGTTCTGCATATACTGAAATATAAGAGACAAAAATTATTCAAGTACACTACCTGCATACTAAATTAGAAAATGTATATACTTAAATTAGAAATTCAGGATTAGTATAACAATGAAAAATTCTTACAGGCTACATTCTTGGTTACATGCTCTACCAGCATTTTGAGTAACTATCTAATGACCACTTCCAAAACACAACAAGAGGCTGGAAGTACGAAAAAAAGATCAACATGCCTTGAAATATCCTAGACCACTGTCTATACAGGGTGCTACAGTCAAAGAAACCTTAATCATAGGCAAATAAAGCAAAAGAAAAGCAACCATAGTAAGGACTATAAGATCAAAAGGATCTCCTTGGAGTTTTACATCTGTTAGACAAAACTTCGTCATATAATTGGAGGAGAGCATTAGTCAAGCCAGACTGCAAAATCTGGGACAGAAGAGTCACTACAGTATTTTATTATGGGTGTTGTCCTGGGTCAGATCTCAAACTCAGCATACGGACTTCAGTAAGGCCCCAAAATAAGCACCCAGAGAGAAATGCAACAACAGGGTGAGCATGTACAGTATTTCCTGCAAGCATTCATTGGTCACCAGCATGTTTGAAACTTTGGGGCGGAGACCCAAACCTTCAGGGAGTTTCTCTGGTGTGGGCCATTCACAAAAAATTCATCGGAGCAGTACCAGCTTACAGAATGAAAGGATACAGACTTCCAAAGATGTCAGTCAACTGAATTACTATGTGGTATTTCGACTAGTTTACTTTCAAAGGGATCAAACAGAACTGTAAAATTATTGTATACAATAAATAAATTCTGTTGCATAAACAGAACAGTAAGTAGACACTATTATTATGACTATTTTAGCTTAATCCAAGAGATAGCACCATTAAATGCTTCCACATGACTGTGCAAAATTTTGTATAGAAGCAAAAGTTAAACATACCTGCTTGAACTGTACCATGACATCTTTGGACAGTTCCATGTCCTTGAACATGCCCTCCAGTTTGCTGGTAAAAGCTGCACCACATTCTGTCACACACACAAAAAAGTAAAAATCCCACAATTACAAAGAAGCACAGAACAAGTGATAAACATTTAACCTGAGACAGTTGAGCCACATTACCAGGTTACAGAGCACCCACAAACAGATGTTTTCAGGATTCTGCTCCTCTGTAGGTACATTAAATAAACCAGTCTCATACCTAAGATGGCAGCTAATAGTTTTTGCTGAGCATAATGAAAGGCCAGACATCTGTATATATCTATATATATACACATATATATACATATATACACAACTCTTATGTTAAGAGCTGTCCAGCTATTACTTAAAATTTGGCTTGTCCCTTCTTAAAAGCATGAGAAAACAAGGATTCCAAATTTGCATGCCAAAAAGCAGTACAAATTTAACACAAATTTAACATCTGAAGACACCTACCATGTTTAAGTTTTGACAACATGGACTTCTCAGCATCTACTGATGCACTTTTTCCAACCAGCAGTCTTTTAGCCAAGTCTTTCTTATAAAATGCCTCAAACACATCTTTCCCTGTAAGGAAATTGAAACAAAAAATAAAATTAAATTATACATTCTATCTGCATCACTGCTCTTCAGGCTTATGGAACAAGCCTTTCTCATGAAAGGCTGATTAGCAGAACAATATTCATTATGCAGTAGTGAAGAAAAACATGTAGACATTTTGTTCTTTTTATATTTTAATAATTTTAACATATTTTGAAAAAAAATTTCTTATTTCTTTTTTATTTCTGCCCCAGAAACTTGGACTGCCTTGTATTTCCCATTGGATCAGCTACAAAACACATGAAATTACTCTGGGGTCCAGAAAAATGTTCTCCCTCCACTGGTCTGATTTATTAAAAAAAAGGGGGGGGGGGGAAAGATGTTTTCTATGTATTAAGAATATGTTTTAAAAGCCTAAGGGAAAGAAAATTTAACAGTAGTCTTCCCACATGGTTTGCCAGTAGCCTTTTGAAATGCACTTTTCATACCTTAAACCCAAGCTTCCCCCTACTGACAGTGCAAAGACACCAGCAAGAGGAACAAATTTACTGTAAACCCAAGCCACTTCTTCTGCTGCCTACAGTAGCCCCTTGTAATTCCTTGTAAACAGCTTCCAATTTAGTTCTTCTTATGGTAGTCTTCTTCCTTCCCCATCCTGTCCTGGTGAAGTTTCATGAACCAGCTGCATCAAGATATTAACGAAAATATCTGGCTGACACCCAGAATCTACCTACTAATTATCATCTGCTCTTACAAGAGCTCTTATGTACTAGACAGCTCAAAATGAAATTTGTGCTTTTAAAATATGAAGAGAAAAAGAGTTGGTGGAAGTCTCAGATTAAAAAACATTAATCTCTTATGTTGAGAAGTTGCCAGAACAAACTGTTTTCATTCACCATCTCCATCTGACAAAAATTATGCAATTATGATTCAATTATGCAAATGGTAATACTACTTTATGACTTGGCTGCTTTCCCATCATATTGTACTTCTTTGGGATTTTTATGAGAAGAGCACCCCATAGATCTCAGACAAACTAATACAGAATTGGGTAATTCCTGCTATTCTACCTCAGGAAACACATTCCACTTCCCTCAGAGCAGTGACCATGCATCTGTATTGGATAAGACCATTGGTTTTTCTGATATCAAATCTAGGGAAAAAAAAAATTTCCTAACACATTCAAGGGTTTTGCTCAGACAGAGACATACATGAGAGAAATGCATTTCAAAAGCAGTGAAACTCAGCAGTAACACTTTTTTCTATCATTCTGAGCCCTCCTCTGTGTTCCTTCTCAGCTATGAAGAGAAAAGAGAAGTCAAGAAAAGTTGCTGGTTTATCATGCTTTGTATCTGCAACATATCTAAGTGGACAGGAAAGAGAAAGTCTGTACTGTCATTAGAGGAGAGGTTGTGGTTACAATCATGGTTGATTTATGTTAAAAATCTTCCAGCAACACTTCTAACCCTTAGGTCTCCACTCACAAGGCCCTGAAAGGTCTGTAGCTTGCAAATCTCCACAGAACTATATGTCCTCTCTGGTATAATTATTGTGCACTTTCAGGTGTAAGGCAACCTGAATTAAAGACTGAGTAGAGCTGAAATGGATGCTGAAAAAGATCTCTTGCATTCAGAGGAAAGCAGCCCTGTCGCCCTGAGAATCAGGCCTTTTGTTATTGTTTTCATAATTTCTAGCCACTTTCCCAGGAAAGTAGCAATAAACATAGGTGTTTATACATTCCATTAAAGATATGCCTTTTGATGGACGTCTCTCACAGCCAGTGTGGTTGGAAAGGTGGTGACCTGAATATCCAACCCCTGGTCGTTGTCAAAACTCTATAAATACTGAAAGAACAAATAAAGCCTTCTTCATCTTTCATCACACTTCAAGCTGTGTCTGTGTAAATCATTTTGTATCTGACAGTGACACAGCCCTGCTAGTAGCAAGTGGAACACTTTTAATTGCATCAACAGTGAACTGCTGTTTCTTACCATGAATGAATCTAAATATGATCATGATTTTGTCAAGGATTCTTTCCAGCTCTTCATCTGTTGCTTCTTTATTACCAGCTCTTAACTTGGAATCCACATATTTTGCTACAAATAAATAAAATTAGGTAACAGCTTAAAAATAGATCTAAAATAACCAACTTAAGCATCTCCTGCTTGACATATTACTATGTGTTAAATACTACTAGATGTTAAAATATAGGATAAGCGCTAAATTTTCAATTTTCCCTTTTCCCATCCCTATGTTCAGTGGAATGACAGAGCCCTACTATATTACTGGAATATTACTGGAGCCCTACTATATCTAACAGAAAAGTACTGCAAAAAGGAATAGTCCAAGGCAAAAAATTAATACAGTATAATAATTCAGTACATTAGAAATTCCCACATTTTGTTTTATAGTCACACAAGCACATTACTTGTTGAAAGACAATGTTTTGGAAGTGTACAATGTATATGAATGTATTTTATGAGAAACAGAAACAAACAACATAAAGAAGACTATATTTTTGTAGACCTCTACTATGTCCCTCACTCCTTAGTAGAAGCATATTAAAATTTAAATTCCAGTTAGTAGTTTCAGAATGCCAGAAATAAGGTTAAGCCTTGAGTTTAGCTAGGTATTTATTAAGCCACATTAGTATCCTTATACAACCTTCTGTGTAAGAAGAAAACCTTTGTGGGAGCTGGAACACCATGATACACAAATTACAACAGCTCCTGTCATGGCTTTAACCTGTATCACTATGCAATACAATCAATTATGTACAGATTACAATGTGCAATCTGTCCTACATAAAGTTGATTTTAGAAGGAAGACACAAAATAAGCCAAATAAAGGCCAAAGAATGTAAAGAGGGAAAACAAACAACCAAGAAGCAGGATCCTCTCTGGTATAAAATGCCACAGCTCCAGTTTTTCAGCAGGCAAAACTGTAAGAATAGCTTTTGCCAGATAAGGGATAAACTAAATAATAGTATTTTTAAAGTATTTGTTATTATCTTTCCCCTTAATAAGCATGAGTTCTCCTGTCAACGTAGTGGGGTTTTTTCCCCTCTATTAAAACTCCTTGTACCTGAAGGCTTTAAAATTGTTATCCCAACTACAGCCTTCAAGGCAGATGGATGGGCTGTACTCACTCCTTTCTGATAGATCCAGAACATCCACAGAACTCCTATACTATCACAATTAAATCCCCTTTACTTGCCACAGCTGCTCTTCCCCCTAACCATTTACTCCCATGGCAGCCCCAGTGTTCCACTGAGCAGCTGTTAGCACCAGCCCCGTGCAAGCAGCAGAGCGCAGGGACAGGAGGGTGACATGCTCCACCAGGACCCCCTAACAGCACACCCAAGCTCTTGGGGCCCACCACACGCCCAGGTTAATGTTTGCCTCGTCCCAAAACCAGTCTCCTAAAGCAGAATGCGACTGCACCACTACTGCACTAGCACACTCAGCAGCATTATCATGCTTTCTAGAGATTTTTGAAATATTTCACAGAAAAATATTTGTGTACCTATCAATTCTGCAGGCTTATTTGGTCTCTTGTTGATAAATGTTTCAAAGGACTCCTTCATCAAGTTTATAAATTTTTCATTTTTCTGAAAGCACACTTCTATGATATGGTCCACTTTATCCTTAAAATCTAGTAGCTCTTGCACCATATCCTTGTCTTTTTCAGGATTAACCACTATTGTTGTCCCAAAGTTCTGTAAAACAAACACTTTTGATAGTAAAATACTTTAGAGTGCTATCTATCTCCCCCAACAGAATCATTTACCCTTATAAAATGTATCATTAGAAAAATTATTTTACAGAACTACTTATGACTGCAAGTTTTTTAAAAATGAGATGCACTGAAATTTAAAATAAAAACTAGACACACATTAATGGATTTCAAACATTAGTGTTTGATTTAAAAATTATTTACATTTAAGACAAAAGTAAAAAAAAATAAATACACAGTAGACATGACTATGATGTGTAAATTTACAGTGACATACAGAACTATGATTCATGTAAAATAAATTAAATGGAAACTGCCTCAGAAATGTTAAGCATAAAGGAAAACTTTGCACTGTTTTTATTAAACCCACTAAAGAGCTTAATTGATTAAACAGGTAGCAAAAATTTAACTGCTGCTCAGCCCTATTTTTCTTTCATCAAGGGCTCTAAACCAGAATGATCCTAGCTGACTTACAAGTAAACAAAACTTTCTCATGCACAAGGAGCAGACACAGACTTGATTTTCTCTTCCTGTCCCTACATTTAGTATCTCAGAAATGGAACACCATTTGTCTAATGAACCAAAATATCCTGTAGGAGAGGATTTTCACCTAATGGACTATTTACATTTGCTTAATAACACTTTGATCAGTGCCCTGGACAGAACAATCAGTTTTCCAAGGTGAGAAAGAGGAACATCTGCACAGTAAAAGCAAAACAGTATTCAATTGGTATATTTTCACCAACTTAAGTATGTTAGCCAATGCTGAAAGAGATAGGGGGAAATCCCTCTCCAGCCTCAGAATTTCCACTGCATTATCTAATTAAGACACTGGCTTCTTTCAAGGAGATTTCTCTCAAGTACCATTTCAGAGTAAAGCTGAACACTATGCTCCCAAGATCCTTAGATTCAACACGTGTATCACAGAATCACAGAACAGTCTGGGCTGGAAGAGACCTCTGATGATCAGCTAGTCCATCAGATCTTCCACTTGTCACAATTTCCCCTTCATTAATACTGCATTTGGGTGTCTCACAGTCTCTGTCAGGTATATCCGTAAATTGCGGGGCTATTCCCTCACTCTGTAAATGGCAAACCAAGATAAAGAAAGCTGAATGACAGCTCTGAAATCACAAAAAGGTGACAATGGAGCACAGACCCTTACCACAGTAACTTGTCTCACAAGATAAATATTACAAATTCTTCAAGCCTCTCTTTACTGCCATACAGAATGCTTGGAAGGAGGAGATTTACTGACACTACAGAAAAGGTTTTCTAGGTTTTTGAGTATGTAAAAAACCATCTTTAAGCCATAGGAGGTCTGATTCTGCAAGACACCGGGTATGGTAAGCCAATTTAACAACTTGTTGCTGTGAAAGGAAAGGTTCCTTTCCTTATTTTTTACCCATGTTGAACTCCTGCTTCTTTCCTTGGACCAGCACATGAACTCTTCTGAGTCTCTTTAGCTCACTAAACCTGGGATTAAACTGACCTTGCCCAGGTATTGTAATATAACAGGTCACAGGAGAGCCTATGGAGTGGCAGGCAGCACCTCTAGGATTAAGGGAGGAGCATGATCTGGGAGAAAGGAAGAAGATGATCCTCCTCAGCCACAGCACCATCATTCAATTGGACAACATCCTAAGGAGTAAAGTCCACCTTGGTTCTGGGGGCAGAGGGTAACCATATTCCATTCCATGCAGCACTGCTGGATCATGCTGAACTCCAGACATAGCTGTGCAGAAAAGGCACCTCTGTGATGTTGTGCACTTAGTCCTGAGGGTTGATGAACACATGGGCAATTCAGGGGAGAGTCATGACATCGGGAATTATCAACTCCAGGGAGGAAAAATCTTCTGTGAAGCCTTCCTGCCTTCATCTTGCAAGACCACTAGAGTGCAAGCTCTCTGGGGCAGCATACTATATGGACATTATGCCTAACAAACCAAAGCATCTAAATACAACTGATGGACTGCTTTCAATAGAACCATTCCCTCCCCAACAGCTGTAACACCCATCAACATTGTAGTAGGTTGGCTATGAGTAGCACTGCCTAAGCTGAAGAATAGCAACATCTGATATTTCAGTGCTTTTGCAGGTATGTAAAGAGTTGAGTGTATTTGCAGCAAAACAGCATATAGCACAGTTCAGCATAGTCTAAACACATGTGCATGTGGTTCTGTTTAAAATCAATGCAACCAAAACCATCCTGTATAATATTCAAACCTATAAGGAAAATAATTTCTAAGGAGAAATTTAAAACCAAAGCAGGTGTTGCTGTTACTTATCATGTGACTGTTACTGAGGCAGCAGCATTAACATCCCTCCTCATTATTTACTTAAAACAGAAGTTTGGTGATACACCTAAGTTATTTTTGACTTTGACAGAAGAAATTTGTAACAGCATAAACTTTTACATTAGTAATAGATCTTTGAAATACCTTGATGTATTCACTCCAGTGTTGCAAAAGGATCTGCTGTCCACCTTTTACCCGGCTGAATAGCTGGTATGTCTGAGTCAAATCTGATATTCTATTTTCATCAAGCAGGCTATCAAGTCCTAAAAAAATTAAATTAGAAAAAAAGAAAATTTGAATACAGTTAGAAATATATTAGAGAATATATCTATTAGAGAATATACTAGTATTTCAACTGAAATACTTTCCCAACAAGGTGATGATCGTAAGCCTTTTGCAGAATAATTATGAAGAGCGCTTGACTTCAAGGGTATAGTTTTATCAAGAACCTCTAAAGAAAACAAAAAGCTAAGTAAGCTGTCCTAAATTTAAAGTAATGATAAATACTTGACGAGATTTTTTTCTGTGGAGCACAGTGACCCATGTTTTTAGATTAAGAACATGCTGGGAACAGTCTACACTCCTGCAAATGGAGTAACACAAGCTTACAAATTCCTTTCAAGCAACTTTTGCTTTGTCAACTCACCCCACGTGAGACTAAGCTTTGGGCTAACAAATTGTGAAGCCCAAGGAATATAACAAGCAAATAACTTCATACACATTTTTCCATTAGAGAATAGACAAATGTAGTTCCAGTGTAATCAGAAGTACTTTGTCTGGTGTCAGTTACAGAGGCTTTAGTAATACCATAGCATAGCATCAAAGATTTAAGACAATTTTTTTTTTAAAACTAAAAGCTTGATTTTGCACAGGCTGACAATTCACACCATCAGTGCAGCTGACAGTGTACAACTGTCCTGTTTCACCAAATATATTTCATTAATGCTAATTTTTAAATTATATTAAAGATTCATTTGCAAATGACTACCAAATTATCCCATATTCTACTATATTATTCAGCTCAAAAATACTTTCACTGTATATTGTAACTTATGTACACATTCAGAACGGCAAGCACTGTTCCAGAATGATATCAGATAAATTTTGTCTGCTATTTTAAGATTTCCCAAACATCTGAGATATCAGAGGAATAGACATACTTTAAATGTAAGACAACAGACTACACAGTCTCGAATACAGTGTTTTAGTGCTCTCTTTTCATTGAGCATGGATTAAAATCCTGGAAATCAAAGAATCATAAAAAAGCTTGGATTGGAAGGGACCTTCAAGATCATCTTGTTCCAATTCCCTGCTGTGAGCAAGGACACCTACCAGACATCTCCTTCCAACCTGGCCTTGAACACTTCCAGGGATGGGGTATCCACAGCTCTGGGCTGTTCCAGTGACTCACCACCCTCACAGCAGAAAATTTCTCAGAATATCTCATTTTTAGTTAAAACCATTCCCCCTTATCTATCACTATCTGCTTCCCTTCCCCCCCCCACCCCCCGATTTTTATAAGCCCTCTTTAAGTGTTGGAAGGTCACTGTGAGCATTCTGTTTTCCATGCTGAATAACCCACCTCTCTTAATTAAGAAATGCCGCCCATCCCATTCAAGCATTACCTCCTATTCATTTAAAGACACCAATACACTACCTGCTTTATTATAAACTAGATAATTAAATATAGCCTTCCCTCTTTCTCTAACATGAGCTGTTTGACTGAAAAAATAATATTTAGTTATACATTTGACAAACAAAAAAGGACATGCAGCAAAGTCCTCTGATAAAAGGTTTCACAGAGCTTACAGAAAGCACTGCCATAGCCTTGGAAAAATCTACAGTATTCACAAAACCCCACCTCACCACTAGGTATGATCCCAAATATCTAGTCAATAGCAGTTATACTAACATAAGGAAAAAAAGGTTTCTCATACAGACATTGCATTTCTAAGCTTTTTTTCTACTGTATCAAACTGACTACTTCACATTCCTTGATTTAATGAAGAAAACCTGCAAAATGCAGCATCTTCTAATTGAACAGAACACTAAGATACCATAAGCAAATTAAAATGTGTCCTAGATCAAATGAATACAGAAAACTAAGCAAGCCAAGTGATGACAGAAGCGTTTTTAATTATTTTTTCCAATGAAGACATAGAATGCAAAAGCTGATCCAACAATACACGAGTCCTGAAGCACAGTAAAACCAGAAAGCCAGAAAAATGTAAAAATATCTTTGTATTTATGTGGATGGCTCATACACACTGTAAACCAAGAAAAAGTTCAGTTTAAAACAAGACCACATACTTTCTATTTAAGCAACTTGATAAACAAGCATTTCACTAGGAAAGTTACTTCATCATACTTGAATTAGACAGCAAGCAAAATTGACATACATCAGCAAACTATAATTATTCTTACTTTCTGCCTGTAAGTTTAATAATAGCTAAGATGAAGTGACTAAGCTTATTTCTATAAATGTACTGAAAATAGTGAAACAAGCTATTCCTGGGGTAGTTGAGAGAAAACTGTGAGCATAAGTCATCTTTAAAAGGGACAAAGAAAGACACAGAAAAGGTATGTATAACATCCAAATGTTAAACATGGATATGATGGAGTTTGAAAATACCAGACAACCAGGGACATTTGTTTTGCAACATAAAAGAAAACACAGATGTAAGGACAATTTGCAATAGGATCTAAAACTTTAAATACTGCAAACGAAGAAAAATATCTAAAAGATCAGGGAATACTGAACAAACTCAGAAATTCAGTAAAAAATGAGAGATTAAAATTTAAGAGGACCAAAGAAATGACAATTTGAACACACTAATGTCTGAATAAGGACTTCCTAAGAAGGCTGCAGTTCTCATCTGAAATTGCCAGACAAAAGGTAAAGTACAGACAAAAGTATATAAAAGCTCACTGCCTCGAATGCTGCCAGTAACTCACAATTTTTAAACCACAAATCATGAGAATATGTGAAACTATTGCACTTGAGCTGTGAGATTATCACATAAAAGAAGCTACAACAGTAACTGCAGCTCTCATTTAGAAGTTTATATAATTCTAGAAAAGCAGCAGTTCCAAAGGTTTAATTCCTAAGCCCACTACTGCAAGTCAAAGGAGATTTAGAGGCTTAGCAACCTTTACAAATATGGAATTAGATTTTAGACATTTCTTTCCAAATATACCATTTACATGTCACAGTAAGGGTAACAATCACAGGATTGGCTTTCTGTGTCTGTGGAAGTTTTTCTCATGGCTAATATACCTCTTAAAGTAAAAGCTGGGGAATTTATAGCTATTGCAGAAAACGAGAATCCATTGTTAACCAAAGATAACATTAATTAAAAAAAATACCTTTTTGCAAAATAGCTGATAAGTGTTCTCCTAGTAGCTGCTTCTCCACACAAGCAATCAGGGGCTTTCTGAATTAGGCAAGAAAAACATAAAGGAAGCATTAGAGTACAAAGGAGTTGCCTTCTATCACAGTGTATTTGTGCATAACTTACATTATAATGCAAAAAACCCCAACAATTTTCTGCTTAGAGGTAACTAATTAAGACAAAAACTATCACATGATATAAGAAAGACAACAATAAACTATGTATGTAATTAAAAAAATAAAAAAATTGATAAAATTAAATTCCTTACACAGTAGAAGGGAGAAGCTTACATTGCAAAAGCCAACGCAAAAGCGTAACTGGAAAAAAGCCATATTGAATTCTGGAAACAAACAAGCAAACAAAACAAAACTTCCAAGGGTTTGAACTTCAAACCAAAACAATACACACTAGTTATGTTCAAAATTCAGCTAACTGTAAAATTTTCAGCTAATTGTGTTATGTGTGTACACAAGCATAAATCGAGTTAGAGCCAAAAAACAGAAATTTGCAGAAACTTTTAAATTTGTCTCTGGATGTCCCCTACTTTTTACATTTATACATTCATTTTAGACAGGACTGAAAAATAGTGGGAAGTTTTCCTTTACATCTTTCATTGCCTGAAAGATAAAATAAATGCTCGAAGTAAAAAGGCATAATTAATTCCAATGTTTAAACGTCTACCCTGCTTACAACGGAACAACATAAGACCAACCATTTCTCTATGAGTAAAATTTTATAAAACTGGTTCTCAGAACCTTAATTGAGATTTCCTAGGAGAGAGGTACTCAACTTGGATTGATGGAAGCCTTTCCTGTAGGAGGATACACTTTTGCTAAAACTAAAGTGAATCTTTGCTAACACACGCCTGAAACTGCCCATCATGACATGCCTGACCTTCCATACAAAACACCAGGTTAGGTCTTTCATTTGGAAAGGTTCAGAGAAGGAAGAAGGAATGATCCAAATATGCAGCAGCAGTTACAAGAGAGACAACTGCACATGTCAAGACTCTTCTTTCTGGGAAGGAGATGACCTAGGGATACCATTAACAGGCAGGAAAGGGGTGAAGGAACTGACGATCACTTTTCAGTGGGGTCATCAGCAATGGTACTGAGTACCAGACTTAAAAGGAAGCACTTTATCACCTGGTGGCTGTGCACTTTATTACCTGTGGAACACTTTGCCTGGCACAGACAGAAAAGCTGATGTGAATACCCATGAGAGACTGCAAGTATTTCACAGATACAAAGACACAAACCACAGCAGGTTCAGAAAATACACTGAGCTGAAAACAGACAGACACCAGTAGAGTACCAGGGCGTCACATACACTTCCTCTATTTGTTCCCTTCAGTGGTTGTAAGTGAATATGAAATACTGTTTAGACAGACCCATGTTTTTAACACACATGGCCATTTTTATGGTACTTTCCATATTCCCTGCCACTTCCAACTGCTCCTATCTGTACTTGCTGGCTGTTTCCAAGAGCAGGAGTTGGGGTTGTATGAAATACATCCCTTGCTCTGGAAGACCTATTCTGAGAGCAGGAGAAGGGACAATTTGTCTGCTTCAGGCCAAAAGGCAAAGCACCACATTCTAGCAAGCAAACAGAATGAATATTTATCTTGGCTAAGGAAGGAGCCAGAAGGCACCTTCTGTATGACCTCAAAGCCATGTACCTTGGTCATCTACTGACTGACAAGGAGACACGTTTATCTGGTCAGCTGTCCAGAACAGCAAGTATTCCTGGCCTGAGAGAGTCCCTGTGTGGGCTGCAACAACACACCTCCCAGGTGTTATATGAAGTATTTGGAATGGCTTTTCACAGGATGCTTTTGTGTTTGAAGTACCATTTCCATCTCAAGATCAAGCCAGTTGCAACTGAACAGCATCCTTTCTGCTGTTCTCATGCACACACAGAGAAACAAGTATGGCCTCAGGAAAACTCAAGTGCTCTAATTTTAACTGCTGTTTCTTAATGCAAGGGAAGGTAACTAGTGTGAAGCCTTCTAAAAGTAGGTTTGTAAGCCTTTAACTAAGGGTGAGATTCAACACAAGTACTTGATGTCTATCTAGACTGAAAATGTAATGGTATCAATCTTTTTTAACCTAAACAGTAAATAAATACATATATTTGCTATAACCTTATAAACAGGAATAGTTCCATATATTTCACTATGAGTGATTTCACTAGAAAAAGCTAGTCACCTTGCAATCAGCATTTACAGGAAGATGATCCAAGTTCAAATATGTGCCATGACACACAACACACGCACACGTGTATATATATATGTAAGATGTCTGAAGAAAATAGTGAGTTAAAAAGATAAACTTTTATTCAGTTATCCTATTGACAGCAAACAAAATGCCAATAAATCCTCCAGAAGACTAAAACCCAATAAATGTAATGTCACACTCTTAACTAAAGAAAAAAAGCAACAGCTTCCTACAGGACTAATTATATATGGATTTATGTAGTGTGTCAGTTCCTGCAGGAATGTGTTAACCCAACAAAACACAAACTATTACTTAAAACCCAAGTGAAAAAAGGACAAGCTACCTCATACAGTACATGGGCAGCAGATGATGTACTGCTAAGCTCACACCTTGGACTGTTTACAAATGATACTCATGTCCTCTGCCCTTCTGGGTTTTTTCAGGTTTTGTTTGAATTTTTGTTTGTTTTGTTTGTGGTTTTGCTTGTTTGATTGGGTTTTTTTTCTAATGAGTCCTTCCTTCCCTCAAGGGATTTGTGGTTAAAGATGTTATCAAGCACATGAATGGCTAAAATCAGCTGCTATTTTGAAAATGGAAAATTGAGTTCTTATGTAATGTTTTTTTCAAGATGCAATATACAGAATTAATATTTCTGAACAAATTTCTTATTTCTTACTGAAAATATCCTTTTATTTTAAAGAAGTAACTTTTGATAAAACTGAAGTCTTTTAAAAAATAAGCTATTTCACAAGCACTCTCAACAAGATAATATCTGTAAGATAATGAAGAAATTATCTCAGTGTTTCTACAACCAGAGATAATTATACTGATTTATGAAGAATGCTTGACTTACAGTAAAAATGATAAAATTTGTACTCACTGTGTGCTGTGATCTAAATATGTTATTACTCTGTCTCCTTCTTCTTCCAAACGTTTATTAACATGGTGAAGGTATTCTGGGACCTAATAAGACAAGAGAACAACCAGTTCAACTATGAAGGTATGAAAGGCAGCTAATCTTGTTCCATGACAATTAAACTACATTTTAAAGAGAACATTAGTTGGAAAGGACTATTCCACCAGAACATTGTTATGTACTACATAATCTGTATTTTTATTAATCTATGTTATTTCATATTAAACATATTATAGTTGGTAATGTGACTTTAGCTACAAAAACATCACTGGGTTACTACACAATTGTATCTATCAAGTTCCATGACAACCTAGGGTCTGCTCTCCCTGTTGATACAATACCATCAAAACACATGGACACCTGTGTGCCAGTAAATTTCACTGGACATTAATACACCATGACACTACCAAAGTTCTCATGTAATCCCAGAGTTGATAAAACTAATATAAAAGCAATCATCCACCATATGCACCTACCTCTCTTTCCTGCATTAATCTTTGGCCTTCTGCAGCATATAAACAATTAGTCTCTTCCAGAAACCTCTGTTCAAACGATTCCTTGTAAACCTGCTCAAGAAATCAATTTAGTTACTTACATTAAGCTCACATGGTAATGGTAGCTGTAATGTATTTTGTTTGTCAGGCATAAGAGGACAAGTAAAATTTCAAGGATGTACACAGCTGTGAGGAATGTTAATGTAACATTATGTTAAACTCTCTGCTTGCCCACTGGTTTCAGAAAGACTGAGCTCAGAACTGACTTCACAGAGCAGCAATGGTTTGTTTCAGTCATCAGTACTTGAACAAGTCTAGATTAACAATCTGTTTAATTCTGTTTAAGGCACACAGCCCAACACCAGTACCCAACATCACAGCACAGCAACATCCAATCCACCAAAGGATCTAAACTCCCACTGATATTTCTGTGGCAAGAAACCCCTTCCAGCTAGTGAAACATTGGCACAAAATAGGTAATTCTCATCAGTAAAATATTAATATGCTCAGTAACACATCTTCAGATCTGCCAGGCTTCTCTCAGTTGCCCAGGAAAAATGAATTATATCAAGTAAGGTGAACTCTTTCTACAGAGAACAAATAAGGTGAGTAAAAAAGAGCACCAATAACAATCAGAGACATTAAAAAACTTCTGCATAATGACTAACAGTTTATCATACAAAGGAAATAAGTCAGAAAGAACAGCTATGTAAAGTTGTAACAGTCTGAAGAACTAGGGATTAACATGTAAACAGAGGGACAGTGAAAAGAAAAAGGGAAAATTCCGTGAGTGTGGTGGAAGAATAGAAGAAAGTACTTCTTCTAAAACATAGAGCTATAAACCTCATTTTATTCTGATTACTTTTTGTCTCTTAAGGATGTCTAGTTGAAAGTTCGCTGGCCAACGCAGGGGGATTTGAGTTAGATGATCTTTAAGGCTCCTTCCAACCCAAACCATTCTATTATTGTATCACTTTCAAAAGGTTAGTTTTTTTTCCAATGGCTTCTCTCTTGAACAGACTAATTTTTCTGGGATGATAAAGGAAGCTACAGATTAAAGTCAAGAGGATTAACATGAAAGACAGAAAAACAGGTAAACTGCCGAACCAGAAAGGACTTTTTTATGTGGTTTGCCTCTTCAAACTCTTTCAAACCTCCAGCCAGTTTTGTAATGCTGTACTGCCACTTTGAAATGGAGTAACCTCATAAGGCTTTAGGAACGAAGGACAGAAAGGTTTCATTGTACATCACACAAGGCTGCAACATTAACTCAAGGACAACCTATGTGGATTAACATAACCACAGCATTTGTCAATCTCCTTGGTTACTTACTATCTCTGCTCACCCAAGATCTGGACTCCAAAAAAGTGACACTTTTTACAGTGACAGAGCAAGTTTTTCTGTTCCTACATTTAACTGGCACTAGGATGAGACAATGAGTGATTCAGACAGACAAAATACTGCACATACTAAAAGACCTCTAAATCTATTAAGATCTGAGGCCATTACTTCTGCCAAGGAAAATAGGCAAAGAGGTCTCATTAAAAACAGTACAAGACATGGGCTAAAGACAAGGCAATCATATCAATGTATTAGCTAGATTTTACACATATTTACTAGATGAACAGAATAATTTTTGTATAAAACATGACTTAGGTAGTTCACACTGTTTCTAAACAAAGCTGTTACTAGTGAATTTGGCTGTACTCACCTGCAGATCTGAGAGCATGCTCAACAAACTCCGCAGCAAACTTCTGTCCACAGCTTCACCATTTCGTTCTCGTTCAATTAGCAGGAGAATTCCATCAATAGTCTTGGTCTGAACTTGCTTGTCACTAATGATATGGTTTCTAAATAACTCTAGCCCCATATCCCTATGTAAATATTGAAAATTAGTCAACACTGATGATTATTTTGAAAAATTATACATAGGCTTAAAATTTATACAGTGTACATATATTATATGCAAAAAGAATATATTAATGTTGTGTATGCCCTTTTTGACACTGTCCTCTAACAAAATCATAACATGAATTATTCTAAAAATACGAGATCACATGCTACCACAGGCATACACTTCAGTGAAAAACTGTTAGCAGCCTGTGCAACTTTCACATAATAGACTTTAAGTTTCCCTGCTTATTATTAAAAAAAAAAAAATCTGATCATATACCTTAACTTAAGATTCCCTGGGCCAGACATTCTACATGTAATTTTTAAGTTTTGCTCAAAAGCATGAATTCTTTGTATCTTTAGGATCTTATCACCTCAATTAGATTCTTGTTCCATTCTGAGATGATGAGGAATGGTGCCTCTATGCCTTGAAGCAGCTAACTGTTAAATATTGAAAACTGAGCAATCTTAGATAAAGCTTGTTACCTCCCACTTCTTCACATGCATCAGGGTTTCAATAAAAGGAATTTTCCCAGTGGGAGAAAAATAAGACAAAGTATGAACAGACCTCATCAACAATGTTTAGTAAAAGGAAGCCTAACACAAAGAGTTAGAGGAAAACTGCTGAAGCTGGGAACAAAACATACCAGGCTCTTCAGACAGGCTCTTCAGAAAGCCTGAGGAACTCACAAGAGCACAGCAGCCAGCTAGGCAGGGAAAAGACATGCTCTTACTTCAGCACTTTATCTGCTTTCCTTTTTGCGGGTGGGGGGCAAGGATTGGGGCAGGTAGGGAGGGGGCGCTTTAGATGAAGGAGTAACAATACCAGAAATTTTTGGCAAAGCTTGTGTCTGTTTGCTCAGGCAATAATTTAAAATGCCCCTCAGGGGAGATGCTTCAAAGCAGAATGCCCAAAGATGTGACTACGGAGGGCTGAAAGTACAAAAGCATCATCAAGTGACCAGAGCTGGAAAGATAACCTGCACCTTGTCAATGTATCTGACTTACTTAAAAAAACAGGGCAAGAAGTTGAATGCTGGTCAAAACCAGGAGCACCTACAGTAATGCTGGGGTGCTGCTAAGGTGGGAGGCAGCAGTCAAGAGGAGATTCCCACAGACCCAGCCTCACCCAGGCTCTGACAACTACAGCTACACATATGCCTTGACTTTTAAGCCCATTTTCACAGACCTTTTACTCCCACTTGACAGTGAATATTCCTGGGGAAGGAGGACATGACACATGCATTTCCACAAACGGACACAAAATTTTAGAGATCTACTATACAGCTCAAATATAATGTAAAAAATTTATTTTCAATCTTTGCAAATGTAATTGCACACCAACACTCTAAAGATTATAGGAACACTTACATGGATACCTACCATATAGAAGGAAGCACTGAATTCTGAAGCACATATGTACGATCCAAAAATAAGAAAATGCTTCTTATCATGATCTGAAATATATAAAGAAAATATTTTTCTCTTCACCTCCATGTGATATTTTAAATTTTAAAACAACTTCTGAAAAACTACATCACAGACACACACCTCATTTACTGATGTTGGTATTTTAAACTTCTATGGTAACTTGTACAACCAGAGGTATGCAATTTTATTGAAGTTAATACTATTACTTGGTGGTATTCCCAAGTACATCCTAGACAGATTTTAAATTCATAGCCTTTAACTAAATAGCTTTATTAGTCTGTTAGGAGTTTTATACCACTGATATACATAAGCTACTCAAACAGCACCCCCAATACAGCCATTAAACACCCTGAAAGAGCATGCTCCCATGCTTTTTGCTATAAAACAAACAAACAAAGAAACAAAGGTTTAAGCTGAGACAGTAATAAGCTGTGCAATAGATCTTTCCATAATAAAAGTGAGCTTCCAAAATTCGTAAGAAAAATAGAGATACATTAAATCCAACAGTAGAAAGAGGGTATAAAAATATAATATCTCTTCTTCAAATTAAAAAAGAGGGAGAAGGAGGTGGTTTCATAGATTACTAGACATTTACATTCAAAAATCCATTTTTAACTTTGCTCATAAGAAGGCTGCCTGACTCAACTCCCAGTTTAGCATTAGCATAACTCCGGATGTCAGTAACTCACCCCCAGGCCAGATAGAGATTTCTATTCCCAGCTGTCCACCTACTCCTTCCCCAAGAGATTTCATTGCCTCTGAAGCAATTCTCAAGCTGACATAGCTTTTGGCCAAGCATATTAAAGTAAAACAGCAGCAAGGTTGATTTTTTTTTCTTATATAGCACAAGTGCTAACCCAGCACATGGGCAAGAAAGCCACTTGCTACAGTTGTTGCTTCAAAGAAGAAAAGAAATGCTTAGAAGTAATTAAAGCAAACTGTGATCACAGTAAAAATCCTTTTATGAAAACACAGGTTCATGCTAACTACATTTTCAAGGCAGTATCTTCAACTCTGTTTTCATCAGACTGCTGAATTAAAGTAGTTTCCCTAACACCTTCCATTTTTAACTCAGATAAAAATCACATACCTATGCCCAAACCTCACAGGAAAGTAAAGAACAGTGGATTCGAGGAATGTAAATAGAAATTCAACCATATAGGGCATCTGCAGCCAAAGCTAAGTGACAATGGAATAAAAACTCATTGTAAAAAAATGGGTTTGGAATTATAGTGATGCCTTCCTGAAGGCACAGTTTTCATCAAGTGCTTTCATAATGTTTCAGAGAGGACTTCTCTCTGTAACAGAAATCTTTGTGGAGGTAGAAGTCAAAAAAGGCAAATAGGAAGCAGTTCTTTATCCTCTCTGTTTCTTAGCTCTATGTTCAGGATAATCACCTCTGCTTTGGAAAAAAAAATAAATCACAAGTTAACCTAGCTCTTGGAGCTATCAAAAAGCAAAGACTCTCCAGTTACTTAAAATCATGAACAGCAAACAACTTCAGTGTTTCTTGGTTAGTTTTTCTTTCCACCCAAAGCAAAAGAGGTGCCAATATATTTCTGAGTGATGTTCAAATCTCATATGAACCTATAAAAGTCAGAGTTAAGAGAACCTACGTTTCAACAACAGAAGCTCCCTCAGCCAGCAAAGGGCAAAGTGAAAAGCAATGCTGAAACTTGGAGGAGGAGGTGCAGTGAAGGCCCAAGTTAAAACTGTAACAAACTCATTTTAACCAGATTTCACACCTCAAGGATATGTACTCTGAACAAACATTCAACTTACCATTTGTCTGCAATGATCTTGCCAGCATTTATTTATCTTCTTTAAAAATAAAAGACTATCCAGAGAATCTGTACAGCATCCATTAAGGAAAACTAGTTTGCCAGTATCTTTAGAGGCCAGATTCTGGAGATGATCTTTGCCAGCCATTAGGCAAAGCTGCTCCATGGATATTCCAATGCTACTGTGCCTGCCAGGGATAAACCGTTAATTGCAGAGCTGCCCAGCACAGTGGCTGGCAGCTCTCCAGAAGGCCTCCCTGTGTTTTTAAGGAATAACACTCACAGCTCTTCAGTAATACCATCTAGTGGCTGTACTGTGTAACCTTAATACAGATTTAAACAAGAAATCCCACCAGCGTCAAACACACGTTTGCCACCAACTCAGGTGAGAGGGATGGAGAGGTTATTTTGTTCATTTAATGAGTTCACACTGTGCACAACAGGAATGACCCTAATCTCTTAAAAGCAGTTACAGTTCTAAATAATCCTCAACAAATCCAAATACCACTCTTTTCATATACATCTCCAGGTCACCCTAAGTAATCTACAGAGTTTTCTTCATTACACAACAGATCCAACTGTTATTTATAAATAATAGAATGATGTGTCTCACAAGCAAATCTAAATGAGGCTTTACCTTCCTCTCTCATACATTATCATTTCCAGCTCATTCTGGCCAAATCTGACTTATCTGATCTCATGCCCTTGGGATACAAAGTGGTACACCTGGAAAATATCAAATTTTCAACTCTCCAATCCACCATCACCCTGTCAAGGGGGCAAGGTGAAAGTAAAGTTTGAAAACACTAACTTTAAAACATTTTTTTTATTACATCATCTGAAGTCTGAAAAAGCAAGAATGCAAAAAATGGCTGTACACTGCTTTAAAGAAGACTGTAAGGTTTGGTTCTCAAAGACCAGGTATGTTAAAGACTACTGTATTAATGTGCTATGTAGAAGACAGATGCCATAAATGGGATTCAAAAAAACACACAAAAAACCCAAAACCACACAGCCCAAAACCATACTGGTGCTGCATACAATTAAAAACCCCAAATTATTCTGAGTGTAGGCACCTACCTGGGGAGTGCAGTGAACCAAGAAACTGAAGAGTTACAATCCAAAGCACATTTAAAGCATTCACCTGGAAAAGAGGTTCATTCTGGGCCCTGTCCTCGTGTTTCCTTCTACTTTATCCTATCTTTACTACTTTATCCTATCATTTTCTGATAGAGTTGGGAAACAATGCCAGCAGCCAGTGCTATAATATCTGTTAATACATGGCACTCTCCATCCATCAACTGGTGGGTAAGGCATTTTCTGGAATATGGGGACAGGAAGGTGGAAAAAGATTATTCATCTGCTGCTCTAGCAAATGCAACCCTGTGGCTACTACATGAAAGACACCTATGATATAAAGCACCTTCTCAGCATGCAAAGCTTGACTGGATTCAGAAAACAGGGCTGGCTACAGCTAGGTGTCCACAGATCTACAGGCACTTCTGTGACCCATTCAGCCAGAAAAGTCCAGCAACGTAACTTCAGTAATCCATGGGGAAATCTACCATAAAACTTCATCCTTCTATGCATCCCAAGACAGCCAAATGATCCCCTGAACTTAGAGGTCTCTCCCAAGAACCTCCCATGGTACACATAAGATACACAAAGGCTTGTTGAATGCCTCTGTGATGTATCACTCCTGACCAGTAGTTATTTCTGGTCAAACAGGTGCACTATGTTTGAAAATTCTTTTACTGTTGTTGACAATCACTGTGATTTAAGGTATTGCTTCTCTAAGCATCACAACTACTCACCTGCCCCAGAAATTCATACCTGCTGAGAAATCTCACAGTGGTATTGACATTTTCTAGATTTAGTGGAAAACCTGCATCCCTATTAAAATGGTAAATACATTCTTATTAGCATGCTACATGTCAATACACAAAAGCTAGATGTTCACCCAGATGACTAAAGTTGCCTTTGACTGATTTAAAAATATGTAAACAGTCAAAGAACCTCTTTAACACATTGACTGGTGCAATTTTTTCAAAGTCTTGTTTTAAAAAATAATGACTTAAACTAACCATTCTAACCACTTCTGCGCATGACAAAAGGATATTCTCTAAACTGAAGGATTTGTGCTTTCACGTGTTCTTCACAGACTTGTCGCAGCTGTTTGTACAGTGTAGCAGAGACTTTGTAGGAACAGAGATTTTCAACAGCCTAAAAACCAAGAAAGGATTATGAATGAGACAAAAAAAAGAACTTAATTTTTTTTGTCTGTGTAATTACTGACTGACAAAGGAAAAAAAAAATCAGCGCTATATGTTCAAGCTGTGCACAAAACCAAAACATCAAAACAAAGTTATGCAGAAAAATTAGGACTTCAGGAGTCTTTTCCGATTTTGGTCCCCTCTTCTGCTAGATTTTGTGTCTCAAACAAGATCCACCACCACAATCTGGGTCATATTTCAGATGTGTTCTTAAACACTACCAGAATTCTGCCTCCTTCAATACTTCATCAGTAGAACTCCTCCAGAGGGTCCATTTCGTGCATCCTTCAATATGCACACAAGTGCCTTTTTGGGGCAGGAACACAATCATACCAAATACTTTATAATTTCTTCATAACTTTAAGGTAGATATTTCAATCAGTCTGTCTAAATGGTAAATGAGTATAGCTACTTTCCTGTCTTTTTATCAACTTATTTCTTCCCAAGTATTTCCACTGATTCACGCACTCATGCTAAGGTAGATAAACTGAGGGGAAAAAATAATTAAGAAAAATCCCATACTATAACATAACCCTCAAAAAAACTCCCACATTAATCATTACATAAAGACTTGAACTGATTTATTGGGAGCTCATAGGATTTAGTTGAGTATTTATCCTTAGTTAACTAAGGAGGCAAATTCTGCCCAAACCCAAATGTTCTAGTGGTTGCTATATTAATATCAACTGCCCTTATATTATGAGGCAATACTGCACAGAACACTGCCAAGGATTTAAAGCACTATGTCACCTGAGCAACTAAACTGACCCAAGAATGTTTTCCTCTGCTCCAGAGGATTCTAACCTACCTAATTTAAATTTATTTAAATGCACATAAAAATGGCCTCCACAATTTTGATACATTAAAGCATACAAGAAAACAAAATTATAACACAGTGCCTGCAATATGTTTTTCATCTGGTCTTAAGGTAAGTAAAATGATAACTTGCAACAAGCACTATTCAGACAATCACTTTGCAGATAGTGTTATAGCCACTCCTATCTACCCATCCCAGTATAAGTCAGGACTCTTATCTTTTCCTTCACTTCTCTCCTGTCTTTCCTTTGCTACTACACTGTCCTGTTCTATGTCCTCCAGAAGGGCAGTGCTGCCCCACTTCACATTATTTAGGACCTCGCTGAAAAGGTAATTTTCTTTTTCCATTATTTTTATCACTCACTCCTCATTTGGCAATTCTTTGTACTGCCCCACTTTCTCTATCCCATCAAGTATAAGCCACTTCTATCACAATCTGTGCAATTTACCACCAATCCCAGACATCATTTCTATTTTAGTCACAAAAAAAATTGGCTGCCACCCTCCCATTGCTCACTGACTAAATTTCTGCCAAGCACCTTCAAGCCTGATTCCATGCTGCCTCTAATGCCTGGAAAGGAGTATCCTTCAGGCTTCCCACACAGCTTCATCATTGTTCTTCAGTTTCTTCTGAGCCACTGTGCCAAATTAAATAAATAAATCAGAAGGTTCAGCTGTAGGCTGGTACACCAGCTCGCTGAGCGCACTGAACTCCAGCAGGCCTCTCACTTCCTCCCATAATGTCAGATAAAGACTCAAAAAAAAATAACCACCGAAAAGGCCTGATGGCACCCAGAGATATTTTCCCCTGTGAATGACTTGATGCTCACCAACAGGCAGTTAAAATGATCTGTAAATACAGATCAGGTTTCCAATGGATGCTGAACCTCATCTTTTATTCCTCTGGCAGGAGAGTAAGTACCTGTCTATGCACAGGCACACTGAGCACCACCACCCACTGTGCAGAAATCTTCCTGATTTTGCTGCATTACAGATTATTCAACCAGCCTTACACAGCTTTTACAATTAAGCAGGCAAAAAGAAAAAGTAAGAACTACAGTTTACCCTTCACAGTTTATCTAAAATCTCTCTCTTCTTCTCAAGCATGTACCCTAGTGATTTCATACCCATATTACTATAATATAATTTCTAAGCCTCTGAAAACAAATTAGGTAACACTAATGGCATCTGTGGGCTGGTTTTATTTTATTTTTTTGCTAGACATGAAAAAGCAGTGTTTATAAAATGCTGAATTTAAAACAGTAAAATGCATTATGTCACTCAAGCTCTACAAACCTGCAAGTATCACTAGATAAATATATTACAGTCAAGTTTTCTATTTAAAGAGAATAATTATATTAAGTCAATATACATTTACATAATCAGCCATTTTAGATCCGTATATTACATACCCTAACTAAAGAGACAAGTATAGTTAGTTCTGAAATCCATCCTGATTTTCTTGAACAGGGACACTGTACATACTACTGGCCTTCTCTTTTCTCACAGTCTCCCCTTTGCACCTCAGCTAAACATTTAGAAAATTTTAGGTGTGTATAATAATGTTTTTCAAACAGGCCAGTCCTGTTGATTGATGGCAAGGACATCAATCTGCAGATCAAACACCTCAGCCCACAGAAAACTCATAACTAACTTATGCTATGTAGCACAATTCAGCGCATCAGTAATTTTTTATAACATGATCACTTTAAAAAGCTACTACTTCAGTTAAACACCTCAAGATACATACATCTAAAATAACACAGACCTAAACCACATATAATTGGAGAAAATAGAGAGAGATGGCTTGGGATTCCACAGCTCTTTTACCCTCCCTAGCCCCTGCCCCAATAGTCCCAGTATTCCAGAAATGTTTTTTCACCACTTGAAGAGAAAAACCTAAGATCCTGATTGTTCTGAAAATGCAATAGTAACCTGAAATGTGAGTAAAGTGACAGCTTGTTGCCTGCTCAATCAGGATTCCTTTTTAATTCCCCAAAAGGTATAGAAGTGTAATACTATAATCTAATAATATCAAACATTTCAACATTACTATTTACAAGAGACCATAGCACGTACAAAGATCATAATAAAATATATATCTTCATAACCCTGTTAGAATAACATCCTGTTTTCAGCACGTTGATTGGGCAGAGTATTGAAGATCCTAAGACTTAGCTCTCACCCTGCCCAGGAATAGCGTTCTGTGCCTCCCAACATAAATTGCTTTTTCATGGGCCCAGATCCTGGTACACAGGAACTGGATGCACAGAAAAACTGACTAGAAACAGAGTATGTAGCGAAGTATTCAATCAGCTTTTAACAAATCAAAATACATTATGTTGAATGTGCGCCAAAGCAGTTTATTTGCTAAAAACGAAACCAAAACCTTATGTTGCTTACCTGGTAGAGCTCTTCAAGGTTGTATTTAATAGAAATGCTACTCTGTATTGCTCCCACCGCTTCATGAAGTTTCTGCCAGGTGTCCTGAGTATAATTATCTGGTAATTTGGGTCTTTCTGTGAAGTGAGACACAGGTAGTTTTGAAACGGCCACCCAACGGGAACCTGCAGCAATGTCTTTCTCCCTGCTGCTCCATCAAGTTCTGCCAAGCCACTCTGCTCTCGGCCATGTAACTCTGGCACACTCGGAGGGGTCACTAATTCCACCCGAGCCTTTGCACGACGCGCTTCACCCCCCGGCTGCGCTGTTTGACGCCCGTGTTACTTTTAGCGAGGCAACCATGGTCGCCTGGCTTTAATCAGCGGTGACACCGAGGTGGCTTTCTGCCCGCTCCCTACGGCCGCTGCCCCCGCGCACGGAGCCCCACGCGTGTCCCCGGGAGCCCTTACACGGGCACGGTGCCGGCGGCGTTATCAGCCCCGCGGCGTTATCAGCCCCGCGGCAGCCGCCCCTCGCTCCGATACGGCGGCGGGGCCCGGCCGCGGGCAAGGG